TTTTTTTTTTTTTTTTTTTTTTTTTTTGTTACCATTAATCTCATCATAGTACCATATGGTAAATCAAAGGATATCGATGTATAAAATGACCCGTGTCAATTTGTAAAGGCGAGATTGTAATATTGCTCGTACCTTCACTCTATATTTGTTTTTATGCAATAAATTAAATTTTCCAAATGTGATATCAGATGCCGTCTTTTAAATCCATATAACTTATTTATATTTGATCGTTTAATTTTATTCTATGGGCTTGCCTCGTGAAGTAGGTTTGAAAACTATACCACGTTAAAAACATCTTGTACTATCTCTTTTGCATTTTTCGGAATTAAACGTTAAGAATGTTTGATTAATCCACCACATTTAAATAGTGTGAAAGTTATCTTATTTATAATCAAATAAATTACAAGTATATGAAAATAACAATAAATGGAAAGATATCATATTATATGGTAAACTATAATTTATTACTAAATATCCTTAACACCCCATCGCAAGCTAAGCGTCAGATTTAAACGAACGTGATGCTTAGATCTGAAAAATTCACAGAGGTTGAGAAACACTTTTTGTGAAGATGTCAACCTGTTTCAGAGGAGGCGCTTTCTTGGTCATCGAAAATTGCAGAGGGATCGCTGCTCAACGGCGATGTTGCCTTGGCTTCGGTGAGAATATGTCTAACCCATGCAGAGGGATTGGGGTCGCTTAGAGACGATGCTGCCTTGACTTTGGTGAGAATATGTCTAACCCCAAGAAGTAGAAGGGGAAACCTAGAGCAAGGGACAAAGACAATGTTGAAGCTGGAAGAGTCGCCACATTGGGCGAATGAGCCAATTTTGGTAGGAAGGGCGGCGGCAACTTGGTTGGCGAAAAGGCCAGTGCGGCACCTAGATTTCGAAGGTAAATCTCTGCAAAAGGTTGATGGGTTTGTCGAGATTCCGTATATTTCTGAAGAGAAGAGGATCTTGAGATTAGGGTTTATGTGAAGGATGAAATGTTGATTGGGAAGAAAATAAGAGAGACTATATTGGCCAAGGGGAAAATCGATTGGGTTGGAAAATAGGGTGGAGCCGAAGAGTAATCAATCGGCTCCGCCTGCGACAGCCATGTAGACTGCCCCTGCGACGTCAAAGCCAGCAAGGGTGGTAGAGAAGAAGATTAGATGATTCAAAAGCCATTGAAAAGAAAGGATCGGGGTTGTTAAACCGAGAGAGTTCTGATACCATAAAAATGTTTGATTAATCCATCATTAGTTATTTTATTTATAATCAAATAAATTACAAGAATATGAAAATAGTAATAAATGGAAATAACAATAAATAGAAAGATACGTGTGGTAATAAGACAAATATTAGATATTTATCTTATAATAAAATATCAACTATAATTTATTACTAAATATTCTTAACAAACGTCTTGTGTTAATTTGAAATATTAAAAAATAAACATAAATAAAATTAAGTTATAAAAGACCTGGTGACTCAAAAAAATATGATCCTATGATTGAGTTATAAATTTATTTGGATTGGGTTAGATTCCGTTAGTTCTCCTAGAACTAGATTGAGTATATGAATTTATTATTAATTTTGATATATGTATATATTTATTTTATTTATTATTATTTTAGAGTTATTATTTATTATTAACAATTTTTTTTTTAACTATTTGGAAGGTAATTTTCAAATCATATTATTGAAATTGAGACGTAAATCTTAATTAAACATTTGAAAATATGTTTCACGAAATTAATACCCTAGCAGACCCATTTTAAAATCGTAAGATTGACAGCTATACGTAACAGGGCAAAGTGAACAATATTTACTAACTATGGGCTTGAGCTATTACAAATAGAATCAGGCTAGACACTGGACAATGTGTTCGCAAGGACAATGGGTCCCCAATGGAGGTGGATTCTGAGATCTTAGGTTGGAGAGGGAAACGAAGCATTTCTTACAAAGATGTGAAAATTTCTCTCTAGTAAACGCGTTTTAGAATCGTGAGGTTGACAACGATACATAATGAGCAAAAACGGACAAAATATTTTGTAAGAACCCAAAGCCACCACTAGCAAACATTGTCCACTTTGGCCCGTCACGTATCTTCATCAACATTTTATTATTTATTTTAAACTTAATTTGAGTTTAGACATATATAGCCCGTCTAATGTGGTTAGACATGCATACATGAACACGAACATGCAACATGCATTTATGAGACCTGAATTGTTACAGTCAAATATTATGTGACTAGTGTGGACAATGAACTCATTTCGTTGGATTGTACCAATTCTCTAGTTGTGTATAAGCAGGAGCCTAAGGAAACCGTACCTTAATGGATAGAAATTGACACTCAAAGAGCCGAGCCGAACCCAACTTAGAACATCGTAATATGAAACGAAATGGAAAATTGCTATATATTTCTGAATGAAATTCCAACGACAAAGATTAATTGTCTTTCGATTTACGAGACCTCAATCCAATTCCAAATTATTCTTCAATTTGAAATGGCCTCTAAACTTCCCACAACAATTTAAATTAAAACTCGACAAAAACATCGATAAACCTCATTAGATGGCGTACAAAATTTCTCAAACTCATGAATCTAAGTCGATAAGAAATTATGGAGATAAGGATTGAAATTAGAAGCAGAAATGTAAACGAACAAGGCTTCCTCGTCCCCTACCCTACGAACCTCTTTAAACAAGGGTTACAGTGCGAAGGAACCGTGACTAAGTTAAATTTAACAACTTAAGCGTGAATTATAGTTTATGGATTTTAATATTTTTATTTTTAATAAATTTTAAATTTAGTGTTTTAAAATTAATTTTAATCAAATTTGATTAAATCTTAATAATAATTTTCATAATAAATCAGCCATAGAGACTAGATTTAATATTAAAGTAAATATTAGGTTAAAATTAAAAGCTCAATTATTATTAAATAATTTATGAACACGTTACAAATTTTATATAACCATTATATCTGTTATATTATACATGTTTTAATTTAAAAAAAAATATAATAATAATATGGGTTTATAATATAATCCATATAATGTGAGGCAATAAAGGTATCAATTTTCCACGATATCATCTCGCGATAAATTGAAATTTTTACTCCACAAAAATAAATTAAATTTAAAAGAAACCCTTTGTATCACTATCATCGTGACGTCACCACAACGCGCGTAGCATGTGTTTCGCACCCACTCATATTCCACGCGCTCTTTATGGCGCGTGGGAAATTAGTAAACGAAATCCCTCCACGTGGTACATAACTCTGGTCCCGAAGCCGTGGGCCCCTACTTGAAAGGACATACAACTAGTTCTAAGCTTTTTA